ATATCTTCGCCAGCTCGATGTCCGGGTGAGCGACGGTATAAGTTGGAGTTGGAGTAGAAGCCTGCGGTGAAATTTGCGCTTCGATGGACTTCTCGTAGTGTTGGATTCAGTTGCTGTGCAGGAGTCGGTGGAGTGTCGTCGTCGATTGGGGCTGGTGCACTTGAAGGACCCGCGATTGGTGCCGATGTTGTCTCTGCTGCTGAAGGTGTTGTCTCTGCTGCTGCCGATGTTGTCTCTGCTGCTGCTGATGTTGTCGCTGCTGCTGCCGATGCTGTCTCTGCTGCTGCCGATGTTGTCGTTGCTGCTGCCGATGTTGTCTCTGCTGCTGCTGATGTTGTCGCTGCTGCTGCCGAGTGTTGAATCGTTGCTAATGCTCTTGTTCGTTCTGCCTGAGGAATAGTGTGCGAATACCAGAAGCCTTCGGGGCTGAAGTCAAGATCAAGATCCGGTGGGTGCGTCCATGAGGTGAAGGTGACGATTCCGTCGCTTTCGGCGGTGCCTAAATCTGGAACGAAGTCGAGGACGAAGACGTTATTCTTCAGAACCGCCTTCCCGATGTAAAGTCCGCCTCTCCCGTGGTGCAGCTTGAATTCTTGCGTGGTGCTGTCTGCTTCGAGGTGTATACCCTTCGCCATCTGTTGACCGACGCTCAGTAAGTTGTAACCGAGTCCTTCTGTTATTAAAACCTTCGACATCTGCAGTATGACGTTTGTTTCCCGTGACTGAAGTTGAACCATGCCTTGTCGTCGTGTGCGCAGGTTCTGGTTGTTCGCGACGGTGATCACGACTTCCCGTTGAAGTTGGTATTCCCGTTGAACGAAGCGACCCGAAGAGCACATATGCTGCCCGCAACAGCTGTCCAAGAACCAGGTATCCTTCCCGTATGGTTCGCTTTGGGCGATGGCTGCGTACGTTGGGTTCGGTTGAAGTGACTCACGGCGAGGAGTGCTGTTGTCGAGTTGCTCTTTCGGTGAGTAATGTGGCGGTGATTCAGTGATGCAGGAATCTGACAGTCTTGCCATGCAACTGACGATGTTTCTTGCTCCTTGTGCAGGTTGCGTTGGTGATGTTGTTGAAGACTGCGGCTGACTCGTGGGGTGCGCCTGTGTGGACGCTACTTGACTGCTTGAAGGACGAAGCTGCTGCTGCGTTGACTGCTGCCGGTTTGGGCAGTGTGTGCGGGGATGACCCGACGTCGTGCAGAGATGACAAAACGGTGGTACGGGTTGCTGTCCTTCGTACTTGTTCTGCCGGTGATTGTTGTTGTTGTAGCGCCGCTGAGTCTGGAAAGCGAACTCAGGTACTGACGTCTTCCTCTTGTGCTTTTCTTCTTGCAGGGTCCATGTTTTGCTGCTCGGCGTGAATCTCGGCGCAGAGTGCTGCTTCGGAGATTTTTCCGTGGGCTCGGAGAATGGCTCGGGTGGAGCGCCATTGAGGGCCAAGACCGCCGATGATGACTGTGACGAAGGCGTCTTCAGATATCCACCCTCCGCATCGAAGAAGCTTGTCGCGCAACTCGCGACAGCGACTGATATACGCCATCCCTTTTTCGCTCGGTTTCATTTCCACTGTTGTCAGTTGTGCCATTAACCGACTCTGATTGACGATGTCTGTTGCCTGATACAGGTTCTTCAAGTGGTTGTAGGCGAGCTCGGCAGAGTTCCCGTATCCCCGGTAAGACCGAATGTTCTGCTGCTGGTTTGGAGTTATGTTCCTTTGTAGAATCGTATATGCCATCATTGACTGATATGTGTACTGCTGCTTGTTGTATTGCGTCCCGTGCGTTGGATATGGCAGAGACCCGTCGAAGAAGCCAAGAATCTGCGCGCCTTCCATCATTAGCTCGAATTCGAACGACCAGGTAAAGAAGACTTTTCCGTCGAACGGTCTTGATGTCTGCAGTTTTAAGACGTGTGCAAACTGCGACTGAACTTGAAGTGCATCCAATGTCTTCTCTTGCTCAGGTGAAGGCTGCTGGCGCGGCATGAAGCTGGCGGAACCATGCTGGGGTTCGTACGGGGCGAAGGTAGGTTGCTGTTGCTGATTTCCTCGCACGTAGGATGATCCGTTGAGGCTCATCGGTGTCACGTCGTTGTTGTTGTTGCTGTTGTTTGACTGCGCAAGTGCCCCTTGCTGGTGTTGTTCGTAGAAGGACATGAAGGAGAAGAACTTCTCCATCATGCTTGGGTCGAAGCCCGCGGCTTGATTTGCGGGAGTTTCAGTAGACCCGGCTGCTGGTCTTGTTGCCGTGCCCTCCTCTGTCTGTAGGCTAGAGGCAGGAGGTGGAGTAGGAGTAGTACCGGGAGAGCCGTTAGAGGAGCTTCTCTCCTTCTGTGTTGCCATGCCTTCTGATGTTGTAGGTGTCTTTGAAATAGTTCAGTTTGCCCTGATAGCTCTCATACCATGTTGGGCAGAGAAAAGCCCTTAGGATCTTTGCAAGGCTAAACTCTGGGTAGGACTTTGTTGTAAATGCGGAAGTGTATAATAATGAGTCTTGAACCACCTTGCGCTGGTATGTGAGGGCAAAGTAGATTGATTAATCAAGGAGATACAGGGCTTTTATAAGAGTACAAGGAATATGAAAAGATGCAACTAATCACTGTTTTACTGTTGCTGTTGCGGTTCGATACAGTGACGACTCGGGCAACTGCTCTATAGCGAGTCAGTTGTTTGTCCTTGCTGTCGCGCTGTACTTGTCAGGTCAAAGTTCGCTGACCTTTGACTTTCGCGTAACCTCCAGCGGTTTCTTCACTTCTCAACCTCCAAGTGTTGACTCGCCGATGCTTCGCTGTGATTCGCCTCGTTTACGACTTAGTGTTTCGACCCACAACAGAAGCGTTCAAATTACTTGTTTCCAACAAAGCTTAGGGTGGGGAGATGAAGGGGCCCACCTGGGGTGGTAAACACGGGCACTGGAAAGGGTAGAGAAGGCGGCGGAGCGGAAAACCAGGGCATCGGAGCGAGGGAGGGGAATGGGCATGGGCGATGCAGGAAGGAAGCTAGTGCGAAGAGTCAGCGGTGGGAATGAGAATGACGTCGACGCAGCGACAGGTGGGAGAGGAGAGGTCGGGGCGAGTGATGGGGAGGGGAAACGAGGGCGACGGGCGGGAGAAGGTGGGGCGACAGGTGGGGGAAAGCGAGGGCGATGGGAGGGGGAAGGCAAGGGCGACGGGAGGGGGAAGGCGAGGGTGACGGGACGGGGAAGGCGAGGGCGACGGGAGGGGGAAGGCGAGGGCGACGGGATGGGGAAAACGAGGGCAACGGGAGGGGAACGCGAGGTCGACGGGAAGCCGCTCCTTCCGTCCCTCGCACCCTCCCCCTCCCCGTCGCTCCTCATTCCAGTCTGCCACGAGCGCAAAATTGCTCCTTGCTCCATCCCAAAAATGGGTCCCCCCGAAAAGTAGGGTTTCGGGGGGTATGTCTGACGTAACAATTTGATTTGAGTGGGAAAAGCTACTTTCGACGCGTCGCGTCGAAACGAAATCAGCCCAAGCAGGCTCGGAACTCTCGAAACTGCTTGGGCAGAAAGTGTGGCAGCTTTGAAAACCACCCAATTGGTTGAGCAGTTGGGTAGCAGCTTCGGCAGCAAATTTCAGCCTCGGTACCCTTCAGGAAGGCCGGGAACAAGGCTCCCGCCTCCCATTGGCGATGGGTCCCGTACGAAATTGATGTGCTGGCGTTGGATAAAATGGAGTATTCGTACACTCTCTGAATATATTGATATGTGAAAATTAATACATTTTTACTACAACTGTGCTCAAATGTTGGTATGGTGACTAGTGAATGTTAAGCATGTTTTGAGATGTATTAGACATCTGGTTCCATTATCCTTATATTTAATTTCGTTGTCGGTTACCTAGGCCCCGCACGAAATTGTTGTGATAGCTTCCGATAACTCGTATATCATTACAGTGTCTAAAAACATTAAATATGGAATCGTATACCTGTAAAAGGTTATATTAAGCATCTAATTCGAATTTCCAATAATGCTGCATTTTAATTACAGTGGTCTTCCATTACCACCAACATTATCAGGAACTAGAGTTTCAGCATCATCTAAAAAACTTAAAATATGTTCTCCATCGTAATAGATTTATCGAATTAATGTATTCCTCGCCATTACGGATTCTGGATGCTCGAATATTTACAACATCAGTGCAGCTGGGAGGCGGCTTGCTTAAGCGAGGCGGGGCTATTTCTCATCAACATATCGTAGACGCAGAGAGAGAGAGAGAGAGAGAGAGAGAGAGAGAGAGAGAGAGAGAGAGAGAGAGAGAGAGAGAGAGGCACCTAGTGACTTAGCCTCTCAAGCCTCCCCTAGCCTCCCTAACCTCCCAAGTCCTAGTATAAAGGCCTCAGCAGGCCTTGTGGCCTCTTCATTATTCTGTTTTTGGTTGGGTTTCTCTCCTAACCGAGCGGGAGAGAGAGGAGAGGGAGAGAGAGAGAGGCACCTATTAACTTAGCCTCTCAAGCCTCCCCTAGCCTCCCTAGCCTCCCAAGTCCTAGTATAAAGGCCTCAGCAGGCCTTATGGCCTCTTCATTATTCAGTTTTTGGTTGGGTTTCTCTCCTAACTGAGCGGGAGAGAGAGGAGAGAGAGAGAGGCACCTAGTGACTTAGCCTCTCAAGCCTCCCCTAGCCTCCCTAGCCTCCCAAGTCCTAGTATAAAGGCCTCAGCAGGCCTTGTGGCCTCTTCATTATTTAGTTTTTGGTTGGGTTTCTCTCCTAACCGAGCGGGAGAGAGAGGAGAGAGAGAGAGAGAGGCACCTAGTGACTTAGCCTCTCAAGCCTCCTCTAGCCTCCCTAGCCTCCCAAGTCCTAGTATAAAGGCCTCAGCAGGCCTTGTGGCCTCTTTATTATTCAGTTTTTGGTTGGGTTTCTCTCCTAACCGAGCGCCTCGCGCCGGCCGCGCAAACGGCTATATTCAGGGGCATACACGCAATGACGGGTTCATCTGCCTAAGAAGCACACGAAACAGCAATGGAGCAGGAGGGGGAGGGCTCTAGAACTGATCAGCATCAAGAAAAGCAAGGAGCCCAGTCAGAGAGTGGTGGAGCTCCCGCACCACCGCCGTGCTTGCGCCGATCACATCGGCTGCAGTCCCAGCGCGCAAAAAGCGCCTCAGGCCTCGTACAGCTGTCCCCAGCTGCCCAACGCCCGCAACTCCTCCCCTCGCGGGTCCAGCCAACACGGGCGCCAGGAGCTCCGCGAGCCGATCCGCGGCGTCAAGACACTCGTCCCAGGAACCGCCAACCAGAGTGTTCCCAAGGGAGAGACCCGCGTGACCGTACATCTGGATTAGATGAACAGCCCGCAAACCCTCAGAGAGGCGCCACAGCTGCCCAAGGGTCGCCTCCGGAACCTCTGCCGCGCGGGAAGAACCCACAAACGTCTCGAACGGCTGCGCAACACCAGCAGCACGAGAAGCAGAGTCACAGGGCAGGAAGGACGGATAAGGAGCAGGGGGAGCAGGAGGCTGAGGAGCAACCGCCGCTGGTGCAATCACAGGAGGTGCAACAGGAGGAGGAGCGGCAGTTGCACGAGGGAGCTGCTGGTTTGCCTGCAGGGCCCTCTCCTCGCGCATCACAGCAGTTACAACCCGCTGCAAGTCAGCCATCGTCACCAGCCCATCAAACGCGCCGCCACATCCACGACCGTAACCTCCCCTCTAGCCTCCGCGCCCACCCCGTCGCGCGTGCCAGTTCCCGCCCGATGAGCGGCGCTGAGGAGACTCCTGTCGACGACGCGAGGACTCCCGCTCATCGCGCGGGGAGGGCGAATGGGGTCATGATGGGCGGCGATCGGGAGACTGCGGACGACACAGCTGCCCAGGCGGAACCAACGGAGGTGCTGCAGGCGCCGACTGAACAGCCTCGGCAGGCACCACCCCGGGGCCGGGCCGCCAGTGGTGGCGGACACCGCCGCTAGCACCAAGTCATCGCCAAGAGCAGCAGGGGCAGCGACGGTCACAGGGGCGGCAAGGACAGGGGAAACCGGTGGCACAACAACCGCAGCAGGTGCCACTTTGTCAGGCTCCAGGCGAACGGGAGCTTGAGGAGCGACCACGGCAGCCGGAGGATCGGGATGGGCTGCCACAGGCCCAGCAGTTGGCGATGACACGGTTTTCGGGGCAGGCGGCTTTGGCGGCTTCGCCGCGACGTTTGCCGATGCAGTCACCGGCGGTGACTTTTCGCGCACCACTGATGCATCGACAGCGTGCTCTAGCGACAGCTCGAGCCCACCAGCAAGCACCATCGCGAGGAGGAAGGCGCCGGGGCGCGGGACGAAGAGAAGGAAGCGGCGAAGGAGGAGGACCAGAAAACGCGTTTCAGGCGACGGAACGAATAGCCCTAAGACTACTAGTTGTAAACGCGGAGCCGGAGAATGCGCAGGAAGCAGCTGGGGGAGTGGCTTTAACTGGCCAAGAGGAGACTAATGAGCAAGAGGAAAGGGCGGACCCCACTTATAGGGAGGAGCAGGGGATACATCACGACAGCAGTGATGGCGAAGGAGGAGAAGAGGAGAGGGAGAGAGACGGACGAGGGAACAAAGTGCCCAGTCGTCCTGGGGTAACTGGGCAAAGGAACGAGGGTGAACCGCACGATGGCGATCATACAGTTGGGAATCCAACCTTGTCGACCCAAGCAACATCGAGCCGCGCCCAGACTAATCGAGCCGCGCATCGCCAACCCAACGCGCCACAACAGCCTCGCTATTTCTCACCAGACAAAATGGCGAGGCATCTCGACAGATTCGCAGCAGTCGCAAATTGGGATATCACACCTCTCTGCGACAGTCGTCAGCCCCCGCTGTCACGCTGCCTACCGTCAAATCTGTGCCAGCTGTTCTCGCTGGCCCTGCTAACCCCTCTTCTGCACCTGTCGCGAAACCCAAACTCCATCGCAGGCTGGCACCTGCTGCTGTTTCTTCCCCGCCTGATCCTTCGCCAACCCTCGCCAAAGCGCCCTGACTGGGCCAAAATTAAGGCCCGGATTAGATCATTCCAACGAGGCGAATGGGAGTAGCTTTACACTGATGCCGCGGAAGCTGTCAACACCCCCCCACCACCACGTCACGAACTTGACAAGACCGGGGTCAACAGCAGAGCAGAAGGTCTGGCAAAGCGCAGAAGTTTGCGTCGGGCCGTACTGGCCCTTGAGTCAACGCCAGTATGCACACCCAGTCCACAGATTCTGACCGAGCTGCGCCGAAACACCCGCCAGCTGGCAGCGAGCCCCTGGCATGGCCATCCAATGACCAACCACAGAGCCTCACCATTTCATCCGCGGATTTCGCCAAGTTGCTGAGTCACTGCGAGAATGGAGTGGGGGCCGGCCCGTCTGCCACCACTTTCGAGCATCTGCGCGACGCGGCAATTACAAATGCATCTGTCTGCACCCATCTGCATGCCCTGGTCAATACCCTGATGGCGGGAAAATTTGCCCAGCCTGTAGCAGAATTACTCATGTCATCACGACTGGTAGCACTTGCCAAGCCAGAAGGCGGTGCTCGCCCCATAGCAATCGGCGAGTGCCTCACTCGACTAGCAGCAAAGGCTGCTCTGACGGTCATGGGAGAAGCAGCGCGAAGTTTCTTCCTGCCGCTGCAGTATGGAGTGGCCGTGCCGGGTGGAGCTGAAGTGATCATACACACAGCGTGGGCTTTCACTGACGTACGGCCAAATTCCCTGATTCTGCAAACTGACCTATCCAACGCCTTTAACAGTCTCTCACGTCAGGCAATAGTAACTGCCCTTCAGGACCCAGCCCTCTCGCCACTGCTCCCACTAGTCAAGCTAACCTATGGGCAACCGTCACTTCTTTACCTCGACGCAGGTTCTGAAAGCGCCCCACTAAGTAGTGCACGCGGGGTACGTCAAGGGGACCCCTTAGGCCCGCTCCTCTTTGCAGCTGGTATCCACCCAGCGCTACGAGCAACAGCAACAGCACACCCAGGCGTCTTGTGCCTCGCATATGCAGACGATGTCAGTTTCCTAGGTGAACAACCAGAAACAGTAGCAGCTTTCACTCATTTCACGAGCCAGCTAGCCAACTTAGGTTTAGAGCATAACCCGGCTAAGTGTGCGGCGTGGAGTAAATCCCAGATGCTGGACAAGGGGGAGCTGCCGCCCAGGGTGCCCTTCAGTCAGAATGGCGTGCAACTGCTAGGAAGCTTCTTAGGCACCACGGAAGGAGGCGCCACATTCTTAGCAGAGCAGCTTCAAACAATGGAAAACCGCTACCACTACTAGAACGCACGGACCCACAGATAGCCTCGCTTCTACTGACTCGATGCATTTCCCGCAGAGTAGCCTACCTCACAAGGACCACCCCGCTTATTCTCTTGCCTGGTGACACATGGTCCCAATGAGGTCGGGATCTGCTCGCCACGCTCCTGGCTTCATGTGGGATACGCTATCCGACGAGCGTGGCGGAGCAGACGCGTGTTTGGGAGCAGGCTTCATTACCGACGTCACTCGGCGGGATTGGCCTCATGGACCCCACAGTAGAAGGAGTTTCGGGTTTCCTCTCCAGCTTCACACAGGCGTCACTGCTACTCAGCTCACTGCCGCTCGATCAAGGGGACGTTTTGACCGCTGCTAAGGACCACATGCTTCTGCCCAGGGATACAAGTACAGACCTACATTTGTGGCCAACGGAGTGTGAAGCGGCACTGCCTCAAGAAGCACGGGAAATCTTAGAGGAGAGGATAGAACCGGTGGGAATTAGGCTGCAGCATGCCCTCTCAGTGCAAGTCTAGGGGGGAAGATACGCGAAGCAGGTCCAGGCGTTACGGCGGATGGCACCGAATCCTTTGTGTGGACATACCCAACGCTTCATCTCACTGACAGGCTATGCAGCTGGGGATTGGCTGCTGGCCATCCCCATCGACACGGCGGATTGGACCTGAGCACTTCGCAAACGCGGTCCGCTTTCGGTTGGGCCTACCTTTCGCAACACCGGCAAAGTGTGACTGCCCAAAACACGTCGAGATCACAGACCCGCGGCTGCCTAACCACCTGTTTCGCTGCGGCACTGGAAAACACAGGATCAATACGCATAACGAGCTTCGGGATGCCTGCGTCAGCATGGCGCAGGATGCGGGCTTCATTGTTCACACAGAGTTCGCGGCCTACTGCCCAGTAGATGAACAGACGGCGGACTTAACAATGATGGACCGGAGCTCCGGGGCTGTCTATATTAGTCACAGATCCGATTAGTACCCGGGATAAGACGGCTGCCAAGGGAAGGGGAAGGGCAGCACGGGAGCAGGCGGATAAGAAAATTAAACACTATGAAAGCCGGCCCGACACGGTGGGATTTTTTCCCCTTGCTGTTGAGACCTACGGGTGCCCGTGTGCGGAGGTGCCCGTGTTCCTGAAATTGCTGGCGGACTCTGCTGCTAGGCGTCACTTCAACGTCGAACCTAACTCATTTCATGCATCCAGATTCCTCCATCTTTTCAGGCAGAGGTGGTCCGTGGCGCTGCAGAGGGCCCAGTCAGTGGTGTTCCTCATGAAGACGTGTCAAGCCGCTATGGCTGAGCACCCACCTGTTGGGGGGATGCAGCAGGAGCTCCACCTGGGTGATTATCTTGCCGTGATTGAACCTCTGGTGGAGGTTTAGGGAAAGGTGACAAAAGTGATGGTTAGGATGTGTGATAGTATGTTTCTTAGTGTGCCCATAGGCTTGTCTAATCTTTGTCATTTTACTTGCATGTTTGTACCTTGCTGCTACATCAATACACGGACCATTAGAGAGAGAGAGAGAGAGAGAGAGAGAGAGAGAGAGAGAAAGAGAGAGAGAGAGAGAGAGAGAGAGAGAGAGAGAGAGAGAGATATAGACAGAGCAAGCAAACGCACAAACAAGCGTCACGTGCATTGTATTTGTGCGAATGAGCTGAAATCAGTTACAATGGCTAAATAATAGGATGTACTACCTGAATGTGAGAGAAATTGGGTTGAAAAAAACATCCAGATGATCAAATGGTGACACGTTGCGTATATGTCTATCCTTGAACGGTTTCTGTTAAGTCAAAGTACTATGCGGAAGCGATTAACTCAGTACCACAAACATAAACTAGGCAACACTTAACATCACTTGTGAACCAAGTGAGTAGTTATGCCAAGCTTAGCTTGTGGAGTGAGTGTTCTGGTTGAGCAGAGTTTCGGCAGCACTTCGTTGTGTATCTACTCTCGTCAATACGTAGTAGTAGATTGTATACTTCAAATCATGAAAGCATTGTTGATGAAAGCAAATACAAGCACACATATAAGAGAGGTCCTAGGTACACAAAGGAAAACACACAAAACAGTTGTCTAACTATCGTCCAGGTCTTCGCTTTGCTGTCATTGAAAAACGGTTGTAAAACTGCTTTAGAATTTGGCTTGATTTGCCGCTGTAGAATAACTGTCTTCAACCTGCACTGCTGCCAAATTCTCCTGCTGACTCTCCTCATGAACATTCATGTTTACTCGTGTGCGATCATGAACGCCCGTGTGAGATTCCCGTTTTTCAGTTACAAACGGATTTTTCCGTTTTGTACCTCTGTCGAAATAATGACGCAAAGTAGCGCGACTTTCTGGCGAATTTTCTTGCTCGCCGAGTCAGCGCGAAAATTCCGTTAGTCAACTGCAAAGTGTCGCGTGCCCCACGTGCCCCACGTGCCCCTCATCACGACCGAGATATTTCTCGGTCGTGCAGGACAAGACGATCGCTGACGCGATCATGCGTTGTCCTGCGCGTGACGGAGCGATCATGTCGCTCTGTCCTGTATCGATCGTGCGCACTGTGCACGATCGAAACAGTGGCGACACACGTGTGGGCCCTGCACGACCACACTCGCGTGTCAGGACCCCACGCGCGGGTCCTGACTTCGCGCACTTTTTAATTGACCAGCGCCAAATGGTCAACGAGGCTGGTCAAACAATCGAGCCCCAAACTCAACACACTCGACACTCTCAACGGCACTCATGAAATCAATTCAACATTCATGAAACACAGAACATTCATGAAACACAGAGTATTCATGAACGCACATGTTCGTCGATGAAAACAAACATGAGCGGACATGAGCCGACATGAACAAACATGAGCCGACATGAACGAACATGACTCGTCATGATCCGTCACGGCCGATCATGATCCCACAGCAACAACACATGAAACGAAATGCGAAAACGAATGCACACAGAACATACACAAAATGCATAACATCGTGCAGGCGGCTGGTTGCAGTGCAAAAATAATATTTTC